CAGCAGGGTTAGATGATCCCCCTCACTGGAGATGAATTTCTTCCTGGCAGATTGCACTTCATCCCTCCGGGCAGGAGGGTTGTAGAGGACACTGTCCACCGACAGCAGCGACACGATGGTCAGGACCTCTTCTGTGCAGTGGAACTTGGGGGACACCAGGATGGTCTGTAAATCACAGAACAAAACTCAGTTTTGTTGGACCAGATGGGCAGATTTTTCTGGTCACTGGAAGCCCAGGAACTTTACCAAGCACTGTGCAGGACAATTCCATAAACGTTTGGGCCTAGAGACAACTGCAAATCCTCTTATGGGCCAGAAATTGCAAGGAAATGAGCTTTGTTTCAGCTTCAGAGGTGCCAGAGGGAAGAAATTACCTTTTCAAACAACTCCCTGACTTACACAACAAATGCCAAGCAAACCAGCTGCTGGGAACCAAGCTGTGCTTCATTACTGCACTGCAGATACACCAGCACAGCTGCAGTCACCCCAAATTCCTGACCTTGTGTTTAAGGAATTTGAAAGAGAAATCTAAGTGGGACTGGGAAGAGTAAGTAAGGTTAAAATGAGCTAATTTTTCTGTAGTTTTTACTTTAGAGAACTTGGGTTCCAGTGGAAAGGCTGCCATCTTCCTGCCCAGGGGAGTCAGGACAAGCTGATCTTCCTTTCGTTCCACAGCTCCCAGCAGGTCCAGCTGCTCAATTGCTGCTTGAATAGCATCTGTCAAAACAAGAAGGTTCAGGCTGTGAAGCCTCCTGGCTGGCACTGGAGGGATGTGAGATCCTCACTACCACCATGGCCAGAGGGACAAGTACATTCTGTTTAGAGAAATGAATGCCCCAAGCTGTGGTTTATCCCCCTCTATCCAGTAGGACAATCACTTTTTCCAATATAAGTAGCAAAACCAGAGGCAAAACTAAAGCTGACATCCCTATAGCTTTGACCAGAAGCCATGTGAGATTCTCTGTAGCTCTCCTTGGCAGTTAAGGACCACCTTCATGTTCTTTCTGACTCAAAACTGCTCCCTGCTGTGTTTGGAAGCTGGACCCCCCAGCTGCTCACATGAGGCTGAGCACAAGCAATGAGTAGTGAATGAACCTGAGACTTCTGGACCACCAGGAGAAGATGCAGCAGAGAGAGACAGCTCCCCTTTCACAGCCCTGACTTTCCATACTCCATCTTCTCTGGATAGCCTGAAGACATCATTTTTCAGCAATTCCTCAGTGACTCATTTGTCTTTTTTTTCCCCCATTTTTTGTAAGCACTTACCAGGAGATGGTTTGGACATGAAGTCAAAGGTGAGCACATTGGGAATTCTCAGGGCCAGGAGCTGAAGCATCACACTGGCCAGGTTACACCTGCATAGGCAGAAAAAACAACTCAGACTGGTTTTTTTTGTTGTTGGTGGTGGTTTTTTTCCTTTTTTTCTTTTATTTGCCTATAAGCTGAGGTAGAATCCCTGGATCTGTGGTGTAATTTGACAGAGACCAGTTCAATGCTGGCTGGTGAAGCCTTACTTAACCATGAAAGGTAAGAGGTGAGTCTAAGATCTGGAGGAGAGTCAAGAGAACTATTGCCCATGAGTGTTTGGAGCCCAAATGTCCACCCTGAGCTAATGCTTCCTAGGTTTTCTGTTTAGTCTCCAAAGCTCATTTTAATCAGAAGTTGGCTGGTCAGACCCTAGATCCAGTTTTGCTGGTCAGCTCCACCTGGAGCAGAGGTGTGGTGAGCAGTATGAGAGTATCAGGGGTTCTTTTCTCACCTCTGTATCTCAGGTATGGTCATTTTGTCAAACTTCTCAAACTCTTCCTCGGTGTAGAGCCTGTAGCAGATCCCACTGTCCTCTCTCCCTGCTCTCCCTGTCCTTTGCCAGGCCTGGGCCTTGGACACCCTCTGCACTGCCAGCACTTCCAGGCCCATTTCTGTGCATGGAAAAAACATCACTTGAGTCAACATCTGCCTAACAAACAGCTCTGAAAAAGAAAACTGAGGCAGATTAACAATCAAAAAATCCCAAAGTATCCCACCCAAATGCTGCTCAGACTGTGTTCAGTCCCCTCCACCCAAGGTCATTCTTGTGCCCTGTGTCCACAAAGAGAAGATTCACTTGATAGATTTTTACCTCTGCATTTGCTGGTACTCAAAAAAAACCAACCAACCCCAAACCCCACCCCTAAAACCTAGGACATGAAGGTAGAGGGTGTTTTAAAGGAGATCTCAGTGGGGCCCATTTGCTTCAGCTAACTTCTGCCCACCCAAAACCAATCTCTGCATCACTCCTCAGGACTCCTCACCAGGGCTGTACTTCTTTGCTTTGACCATGCCCGTGTCCACCACGTATTTGATGCCAGCAATGGTGATGGAGGTCTCTGCAATGTTGGTGGAGAGGATCACTTTGCGAGAGCCCTGGAAGGAAGAACAAACTAAAGGAAGTCACAAGCCACCCCAGATGAGCTGCAGTGAGGAAATGCTGCTGCTTTTGGCCAGCATGGGCCAAGCCTACATATCACTGCAGCATGTTGTGGCCACACATCACAATCACTAGGCCAGGTCCTGTAAATTGAAAGGTTGTGGTTGCTCTATTCCTGGACTTCTTCAAGGGCAGGTTGGATGGGGCTTGGAGCAACCTGGGCTGGTGGGAGGTGCCCCTGCCCATGCAGGGGGGTTGGATCTAAATGATCTTTAAGCTCCCTTCCAACCCAAACCATCCCATGATTCTATGATATTCTCTAGTTCCTCATCAGTTTCTAAAAGCTGTGCTTACACTTCTTGCAACAAAACACACCAGCCAGGACAGCTGTAAACAATGTGTCTTTAAACCATTTTGGTTTCTTTTCTGGCACAAGATGCTGAACTCTAAAAGTCTGCAGCTTTCTCAGTATTTGGCTCATTAACTGCTGTAGCTTTTTTTGTGATAAGGACATAATATTCCCATGAAATGGGGTAAATATAAATTCCTTCTGCCCTCCTAATCCTTCCTCCTTTTCACACCCAGATGACTTATTGTGTGCATCTGTTAATCCCATCCCAGTTGCAGTGTCTTACATCACACTGGAACCATTCAGCTCAAAGTCAGAGGAGACTCTTACCATCAGTACAGACCATTTTAACCCCTTAAATCCCACATTTCTTCCAAACACTCATGGAAGAAAACTCATCCTGTTTGCCCCCCACATGGCCTCACCTTGGGGGCAGCCTGAAAGACACGGAGCTGCTGGCAATAGGGCAGAGAAGCATAAAGAGGCATCACTGTCATCTGTGGGCAACCATCAGGGAGGTGCTTGGCAATGTCTCGACAGGTTTTGGTCATTGCTTCAATTTCTTCCTGGCCAGTCAGAAACACCAGGATGTCCTGAGAAGAGGGTGCTTCCTGGAGCCAGAGGAAAAAGCAAATGAGAAGTTGCAGATGGATTGGATAGGGAGGGAGAATCAGATTGTAATGAGGTTTGTCCTGGCAGCTAGTCAGCACAGCAGGTAAGGAAGAAGGAAAAGACACACGTGGGGTGGAAGGTTTGCAACAGCCTGAAAATCCCAATGGATTCACCAGAGGGTGAATCCTGCATTTTGCAGGACTGAGCCTTAACAGGATGGAGGAATCATTTAAATTCCCATGTCTATTGCATAATTAACTGTCCAGCAAATGAGAGAGCCAGCAACACCCAGGCACAAGCCACAGAAAACTCAGGTGAGCAGAACACTTGGGTGCTAGGAATGAGTTGACACCAGAGAGCTTTGCTTAGCAGGTTCACTTCAACCTGATGTACAAGTCCCAAAACCCCAACCGCAGCATCATCTTAAAAGCATTAAATTCAGGGCAGTAAACAACTGAATGAAATAATTTAGCCATCTTGCAGTTTTGCATTCAAACACCTCATCACAAAATGCCCATGAGCTGTTATTTTAGTAGATCTCTACTTGCTCTGTGGTTAAACTTTGACAGTAATGGGAATAATCTTCATGCTACTGTCAGCTTCTACCTGGATATCCCATCACAAGCCAGGGGTTGACCACTTCCAATCCTTCTGTCCACTTCTGGAATGACACCAGCATTTCTCAACCCCTCCTTTGAGCCAACCCCTGTCACTAACCCAGCACCAGGCTCCCCAGGTATCCACTGTTCCTGGATGATGTACTGGAGCACCTCAAGGACATCTCTGAATTTGCAGCACCAAGCTCAAGCCATGTATTGTGCCACAGCCATTTATGAGCAACCTGAGGAGATCACCATACCTGGTGAATTTGGAAGACTGACACCAGTGCTGCTTGGAGGTAATCACTCTGAGGCTGCTTGGTGTAAAAGATCTGGATGGGATGTTGCCGACCTTCCAAGTAGAGAACAGGAGCTCCATTGAAGTACTGGGAGAACTGGTCAACATCCATGGTAGCTGACATGATGATCACCTTCAAGGTGAGCAAAAGATGGGTTAGCACTGCAGTTTAGACTCTTCCCTGCCAGAACTTGCCAACAGTCCCAAGACAGACATATGCTCAGAACAGCAAAAACCACAAGAGTTTGGGACAGAACAGGGTGATCTTTCCTGGTTGAAGCCATCAGCTTTAGAATTCTCTTCCAAAATACAACAGCACAGATCTCAGTGCCCAGAAAGTCAGGCTGCACCACGATCTGCTGGGTGACACAGTGCCAGCCCCCTGCATGCCTTCCCCATCCAAACCAGCCTGCTCTCGTACACCTCGTGCTCATGTCAGTTCTTCTGCACCTGACAGGTGTGCAGGCTCCTTCCTCAGGGTGAGCAGGTCCCACAGCTGTCACACCAGAGCTCCTGTACCCAGGGTGCTCTCAGCAAAAGCACCAAAACCTCCCCCAACATGGCATCTGGTCTATAGCTAACACACCCAAGGGGCCCTGATGAAAAAAGGCAACAAGGAGGTGACCAAATCCCTTGCTCAGGTGTGTCACATCGGGCCCACACATCACAAATTTTATTCAGATTTAAAGGGACCTTTTAGGAACAGGAAAATAGTCCGGTCTGAACTTTCAAACACCTGGGAAAACCCCAGGAGATCCTCACAGCACTCAGGGTCCAAGCCCCCACCCCTACCACCCCAGCTGCACGTACTTTCAGTGGCAGTTTGCCCAGCTCCTTTCGTTTCTTCTGTGCAGCTTTCACCACCCCAAAGAGCACATCAGTGTGGATTGTCCTCTCGTGGGCCTCGTCCAGGATGACAACGCTGTACTTGCGCAGCAGAGGGTCCCCCAGGGCCTCCCTAAGCAACATCCCATCTGTGGAAAACTTGATCCTGGTCTCCTCAGAGGTGAGATCATCAAAACGCACGCTGTAGCCAACCTAAGGAAGTGATGAGCACAGAATGTCCCAGCACAAAGTCACCTACACTTCTCACTGCCATGGAGGAAGGGCTACAAAGCCCTCTGGCCAAGGCACCAGACAACTAGAACTCCAGAAAGACTCTGGGAACAAAAGGTCTGTGAGGATTTAGTCTTGCCAAACTAATAAGCCACCCAAAGGATGCTCTCAACCCTGTGTTCCAAGTTGGACTTTTCCCCAACTAGAAGTTCATCACAAAGGCTCCAGGCTTCCTCTCCTCCCTCCCCTGCTGGGAGAGCAGACTCTCCCAAGGCTTCATGCAGGGAAGTCTTTCTCCTCCACCCCCCCTCTCACAGCTCTGCACAGATGCAGCACTTTACCCTCCTGGACACTGACTTTGCATTCAGGGAGCAACAAAAGAGTGCACAACATTTCTATCTCAGCTCAAGCATATTACTACATGTGGATTACCTGTTACCCCGAGGCTCTTTCTGTCCTGGTACAGTCCCACCAGCACGACAGCACTAAACCAGCTTTGAAAAGCAACCTACCAGTTTGCCCAGCTCTGTCCTCTTCTCATCTGAGACCCTGGTGGCCAAGGATATGGCTGCTACTCTGCGAGGTTGGGTCACAGCAATGATTCCTTGCCTGCCAATTCCTGCCTCATAGAGGTACTGAGGGATCTGAGTGGTCTTCCCTGAGCCCGTTTCTCCTGAGGAACATCAAGGAGATAAGTTATTTTTCCTCTCTTAGAACACCTTTAAATGAAAGGTCACAATTCATTATTTTTCTTTTATATTCACTTTTAACCATTTAATGGTTAACCATTTAACTTTTAACCCATTTCAGGATGGGGATGCAGCAGATAGGAGAAAGCTGGACATCTGAGCATGAGAGGCCACAAAGATCCTTTGAGGGCTGAAGAAACTGCTCTATGAAGACAGGCTGGGAGAGCTTTGTTCAGCCTGGGGAAGCAAAGGTTCCTTGCCCAGTCAAAACTCAAGAACAATAATATCCCTAATTCACCACATTTCACAGAATCACAGAATCCCAGGGGTTGGAAGGGACCTGGAAAGCTCCCCCAGCCCAACCCCCCTGCCAGAGCAGGGGCACCCAGAGCACATCACACAGGAACGTGACCAGGGGGGTTGGAATGTCTCCAGAGAAGGAGACTCCACAGCCTCTCTGGGCAGCCTGGCCCAGGGCTCTGGCACTCTCACAGCAAACAAGTTCTTCCTGACATTCACATGGAACCTCCTGGGCTCCAGTTTGCACCCACTGCCCCTTGTCCTGTCACTGGACATCACTGCACAAAGCCTGGCTCTGGCCTCCTGACACTCACCCTTTAAACACAGGTGAGGTCAAATGTAAGGGGCAGTGGGTGCAAAGTGGGGCCTGGAGAAGAGGAGACTGAGGGGCCACCTCATCCATGGGCACAAATCTGTTCAGGGCAGTGTCAGGAGGGCAGAGCCAGGCTTTGTGCAGTGATGTCCAGTGACAGGACAAGGGGCAGTGGGTGCAAACTGGAGCACAGGAGGTTCCATGTGAATCTCAGGAAGAACTTCTTTGCTGTGAGAGTGCCAGAGCCCTGGGCCAGGCTGCCCAGAGAGGCTGTGGAGTCTCCTTCTCTGGAGACATTCCAACCCCCCTGG